CGCCTGACGACGCTTTTTCTATAGTTGATGTTCGGATAAGTTCGCTCTTTAGATAATCCCAGGCCCGCTTCCATTCCACTTCGCTGTCTATCCATGCAACCTTAAATTTTGGATGGCATACGGCAGATATTATCAAATGTTTTTCTTCCTCCATACCGGCAAACCTCTTATTGATCGCCGCGATTAAGCTCTCGACCACCGGGCGGCAGTACCTCAAGTTCTCAAACAGCAACGCGAACATTTTTTTTTCGAAGTGAAGCCACTGTAGGCATAAGATATGCCGTGAACATACTGTTTTCGCGCTGGAGAAGAGTTATAGCTTGTGCGAGAGGTGTAAACACCTGAACATACTCGTCAATAAAGTCAATGTCTGACTTCGTGAATCGCGGAATTTTAAAATTCTCGCAAACCTCCTCCAAACTTCCACTAGACAAACTAATTCATTCGCCTTAAAAAAAAAAAAAAAAATTTTTTTTTAAAGAATTTACGCAGGATCGCACCCACGACCATTCAATTGCGAGCAGACACGCTACTGACTAGGCAACGGAGGGCTTGGAAATGGCACTGCGATCCTGCCATCATTAGAGCGCCTCGATGTCTGTGTCAGCGTAAAGGCATTATCGCATCGAGTGTTGTTAGCGCGTGCCAAGCAAACACATAAATAAACCTTGCGGGGTAAAATGGCATCAAAGCACTGGCAAAAGCTTCTCGATCGCGCCAGGAGTGTCGTATCATAAGAACTAGGTCGTTGTGTGACTCAAAAGCACGAGAAGCGAATGAGAAGGCCATAGTGGGGCCCGATAACCCTATCGCGTTCAACTCTTAAAGGCGAAGGTTAATCGTCCTCCCAGTTTTTTTTTTCTTCATAAACATTTGCAGTTTTGTAAAGTGCACAATTGGTGTTCGATTTATTGCGTGGAAACACTACGTGATGTTAAATTGCTTTACGACTGTAATTATAATATATTTTCAGTTATATGTTATATTGTATTTTCTACGATTTTGACGAAGTGAATAGAAAAGTACCTGTAAAAAGTAACTTCACTTAGTTACAAGTTACTGGAAAATGTACCTAAGATACAAATACAGATACTGAGAAATGAAAGTACCTAGGTTTGTACCTCAGGTACAACAAAAGTACCTAGATACCGATTTACAGTTACTTGTACCTAGGTACTTTACAACCCTGATTGTAACGCAATATATTATGAACTTGGAGGATCAAATCTAGGTAAGAGAAAATGAAATTTAAAAGCTTTAGATAAATATCAAACAGAGAGAGTGACCGAATCGAACAACAAGAGAGAGAGAGAGAGAGAGAGAGAGATAATAAATATTTTGCATGTACTTACAAATCTTCCCCTTTCACAGGGTATGTCTCTGGGTAATGGAATCATCACACTGGATGACTTGCATTGAACAGAGCAGTCATAAATGGCGTACTGACCAAAGCCCTAAAAATATTTGGGTAAGTTTTACTGTAGAAACCAACGTTATCAACGTCGTTACGCATTTGTTAGTCACATTCTGCGTGATAAAGGGTTACTGAACCTAAATTTTGAGCTCACAAAACAAGGCTGGACAGATAGGCGTGACGCTGCAAAACCCAACATCACTCATACAGCAATATCTCTTACGGATCGCCGTATGTTTTGGAAGCTTGCGGGATTGAACACGGCCGACAAGACCGGCGAGACAAGTCACGTCACGATTCTCATTCCCTTTAATTTTCGCTACGTCTTGATTCCTGTCGAGCTGGTGAACCGAAGCGAGGAGGAGTGAAGCGAGGCAGTTTCCCCTCATTCTCAAATGTTCCAGGAGGACCATGATGTAATAGCCCTCGCTTGATCGCGCCCTTTTCCAAAAATACAGCCATCCGTTTGAGATATCGATGTATGAGTGGCGTTCTAGAGTTCATTGCGTCCCGTTTACCGCTTCAGCGGCGTTATTTTGAGAAATCCAAATTTCGGTTAAGTATCGCTTTAAAAGGAGGACAATACTTAACTTATCAATCAAAGTAAAGGTTATCATCATCATCATCATCATTTATTTTCCTTGAGGGCCCCAGGGGGCATTATACAAGGGAGTGAACACACTAAAAACATCAACAAAAATAGTTAATAAAAACACGCTGTAATCTATACTTGTATTTCAGAAAGAAAGAGGTTAACGGCTGCAGCAAACTTGTTAGTATCAGTCATGTTTACAATGAGGTCAGGTAATGAGTTCCAATCGTCAATAGCAGATGGTAAAGTCGACATTTTATAGGAGACAGATGACGAAGTAATTGAGCGCAGTTTACATGAGTGGTCAAAACGAGGGAAAATACGGTAGGGAGGTGATAGTAGAGAATCTTTTAGATGGTTGTTGTGGTAAAAGATTTTGTGAAGAAGAGTGAGACGTGACACCCTTCGACGTAAAGAAAGTAAGTCAAGGTTAGCTGATTTGCGTAATCCTGATATGCTAGTGTATGGGGAGTAGTCAGAGTAAATAAAACGAAGACCTCTGTTTTGAACGGATTCAAGGTTGTTAGTTAGATATGATTGCCATGGTGACCATATGGATGAAGCAAATTCAAGTTTTGATCTGACCAAGGTCGTATAAGCTAGTAGTTTTACTGAAGGTGTAGCTAGTCTGAGGTTACGGCGAAGAAATCCGAGAGTACGGTTAGCATCGGCAGTGACAGCATTTATGTGAGTAGTCCATGACAGATCAGAGGTCAGGTGAACGCCTAGGTATTTATATGAGGAACAGGTAGCTACTGGGATAGTGGAAAGGTGATAAGAAAAGGATGAAACATGTGAACTGCGGGTGAATGATAGAGATTTACATTTATTAAAGTTTAAAGTCATTTGCCACTTGTGGCACCACTGAGTTATAAGTGCGAGGTCATTCTGCAAAATTTGATTATCGTGGTTTGAATTAATAGGTCTATAAATTACACAGTCGTCGGCGAAGAGACGTATTGAAGAGGAGATATTGAGGTAGAGATCATTAATGTATATTAAAAATAGAAGGGGGCCAAGAACGGTTCCCTGGGGGACGCCGGAGGTTACAGTGCAGGTGGTAGATTTGGTGTTGTTAATAGATGAGTACTGGGTGCGATTTGTGAGGAATTCGGAGATCCATTTGACGACTGAGGGATGGATATTAATATTTCTAAGTTTCAGTAAGAGACGTTGATGAGGGACCCTGTCAAATGCCTTGGAGAAATCAATAAATATGGCGTCAGTTTGCTTATTAGAATCAAAGTTTGAGTAAACGTCAGTAAGAAAAGCTGTTAGTTGTGTTTCGCATGAGTATGACTTGCGAAAGCCGTGCTGATGCTCGAAAAGAAGGCTGTGGGAGTCTAGAAAGTTTATTATGTTAGAATAGAGTATATGCTCTAAGAGTTTAGACGACACACTGGTGAGCGAGATCGGGCGATAGTTGTTGATTAGTTGGCGATCACCTGCTTTGTAAACGGGGATGACGTTAGCGATTTTCCAATCGCATGGAATTTCAGAAAGTTGAAGAGACTGCGAGAAAATGTCGCAGAGGAAAGTTGAAGAGACGTGTTTAGTATTTATTAATATTTTCGAGTTTATTTGGTCGTCGCCAGAGCTAGAAGACACCTTCAGCTGATCAATGGCCTTCAGTACACCAGAGCGGTCGATCATGATAGGATTCATAGGAGGATGAAGGGGTTGGCACAAGTTGGGCATACTTGACAAGTCTTCATTGGTAAAGATCGAGCTAAAAAAGTTGTTAGTTTCAAGAGCACTATGTTCGTCAGAAAGTGGAAGGCCGTACTCGTCAACGAATTGTAATGGAAGAGAGAGTGCTGGGTTAATTACTTTCCAAAACTTTTTAGGTTTATTGGTTAAAATGTTGGGGAGGTCATGAGTATAAAATTTGGATTTGGCATCATGAATCGCGGATTTGTAGGCCCTAGCGCATTCGTGATAGGCATTCCAAGATGCGTTAGTGTTATGAGCCTTTGCCCTCGTATAAGCTCTTTTTTTCCTGTTGGAGTGACAATGAACTGTTTTATCGTACCAAGGGTTAGTGTTATCGGATATAATTCGAGTGAGTGGAACGAAACGTTTGATTAGGGATGTTAGTCTATCTTTGAAAAGAATCCAGTTTTCATTGACCGTCCTTTCTGCGAAGTTTACTGAGAATATGTGATAAAATTCTTCGAGGTTGGTGTTGATAGATGCGTAGTCGGCTCTCGCATAATCGTGAATGAATTTGCAATAACGTGATTTCTTAGGAGTAGTGATGGAGAATGTTAGCTCAATGACGAGGTGGTCGCTAATGCTGGGTAAGTATGTGACGTTGCTGAAGAGAGAAAGGTCATTGCTTAAACATAGGTCGAGTACGTTGCTGCAGCGATTGGTAATTCTAGTGGGTTGAGTGATAACATTAGATAGGTTAAAATCTAAACAAAGGTCAATAAACTCTTGAGAAAATGCACAGCTAGAACAAATAGTAGACCAGTCAATATTTGGGTAATTGAAATCACCAAAAAGGGTAACTAAAGCGTTAGGATATTTACATGCGAGTTCAGAAAGGCATTTATACAGCTCAATAACAAAATCTCTTTTATTATCCGGCGGCCTGTAATACACACCCATTATTACGGAAGGCGTTGTGCAAAGATACACCCAAACAACTTCTAGGTCAGTGGTAAGCGGTATTAGCCGTGATGGTATATGGTCTTTTATGGCCAAAAGTACGCCCCCTCCTTTTCTAGTTTTTCTGTCAGACCTATACACTCGAAAGTTTAGTTGCGAGGGAAATAGCTCAACGTCAGATATATCAGGGCTTAGCCACGTCTCTGTAAGTACAACAAAAGCGGCATTACACGCTTCGATTACTGAAATTATTTCGTCTCTCTTTGGTATTAGGCTTCTAATGTTAGTAAATAGGATAGAATGACTTGAAGATTTGTTAGTGATAACATGGTGCTTTGCCGGTCGACTCCTAGAGGGCGACGAGAAGAAGCGCTGGCGTGGCTATGTGTCTTTTTCTTTAACGGCGCCGAGAGCGGCATCGAATACATAGCACTTATCATTTATAAAAAGTTTATCATGACGCAGTCTGTAGGGGGTGCCTTTTGGCCTTGCAAAATCAAGAAGATGACGGCGTGCGAGCCGGACAGAAATTGGGAAGTCTTCGCTGATGGCTACGCGAGTTCCTTTAAGCTTGTGGGCTGATGAAAGAACGCTATCTTTATCTTTAAACGAAGAAAACTTTACTATTATTGGGCGACATTTCTGAGGGTCGAATGCTCCTAGGCGATGCGCCCTTTCAATCCTAGATGATTCAACTTGCACGTTTAGTTTTTCGGAGCACAAGCTAGTGACCAAGCACTCTGACTGAGCCCACGTTTCCTTGTCTGCGTCGGTGATGCCAAAAAATAAAAGATTACAGCGACGGGATCTGCCCTCTGCATCATCGCAACGTGTTTTTAGCTGAGATAGTTCGTTTAAGGCAGCAGTAAGCTGGGGTTCAGTAGTCGCGGCGCTACTAGTATCCTTCTGCTTTAGTGCGTCGAGTTCACTCGCGAGTTTGTTAAGTCGCTCTTCAAGTGTTGAAACTGTCTGTTCACTTTGTTTTTGTTTTTCTTTTAAAAGGTTTACTTCTTGTTGAAGTATAGCATGACTGTTTTTAAGTTTATCGACTGTTTCTTGTAAGCTAAGTAATTGTTCTTCTTGGGGTTTTGACATGGGACCTGGGTTCCGCTCAACATCACCAGACAACAACAGCAGCAGAACTCTAAAAGACTCAATACAAGCTTCGGGGCATGGAAGCATAACAAGGCAAACATTGTCTGATTTAAAACAATGGCAAGGTTTTTGTTTACTAACCTGCGGGAGGACGAAAAACATGAGCAACTTCATGGCTGCAGAGCTTCCATGCCCACTGGCGCGCTGTCGCAAGGGGAGCTCCTTTATAGCTGCCGCTGTCGATGTCCCTGCTGATGACGTGGTGTGAACGAGGTTCTCGATGAACTTGATACCAGGACAGGACGGTGCTGTCGACGAGTGATTGGCAGGTTGAAGATTGCCGTCCGGATGCCGGAAGAAAACCGCGCCGTCATCGTGACTCCAGTTAGTTGGGGACCCACGCGCCGGCACGCTCAGGAACTGCGGGAGAACGAAAAGCATGAGCAACTTCATGGCTGCAGAGCTTCCATGCCCACTGGCGCGCTGTCGCAAGGGGAGCTCCTTTATAGCTGCCGCTGTCGATGTCCCTGCTGATGACGTGGTGTGAACGAGGTTCTCGATGAACTTGATACCAGGACAGGACGGTGCTGTCGACGAGTGATTGGCAGGTTGAAGATTGCCGTCCGGATGCCGGAAGAAAACCGCGCCGTCATCGTGACTCCAGTTAGTTGGGGACCCACGCGCCGGCACGCTCAGGAACTGCGGGAGGACGAAAAACATGAGCAACTTCATGGCTGCAGAGCTTCCATGCCCACTCGACTTTATGCAACCTATGCTTTACTAATAAACATGTTATCAACCTGCGTATAATAACAATATAACGGAGCACCTCGACTTTATAATTTAAACACTTTAAAGCGACGTTTTGTCCGCAACTTGGGAGATTTTTCGATATAAGGTTTGGGTCCAGTCGAGCATCTGTCGGCCTTTTCTCGTCATCCGCCAAACCTTTATTGTCCTTAATAATAGAACATTGCAGTCTTGTAATATTATTATAACGAGGGTTATGAAAAAAAAAAAAATAAAAAAAACCAATGAAGTACAAACATACCCGCGTTAATTCACAAAAAAAAATTTTTCTGAGCCGCCGGTGAAACATGTTTTAGAAAACATAGATTTAGGTGCGAATGAAGAGGCTGATTGTGAAAACGTCGAGGTGGTAGATGTCAAAATCTCACGCCTCAAATTGCAACCTTTGGCAAAATTACTGTGACGTTATTAAGGTATGTATTAGCTTAACTAGACGTACACTAATTCTACTGACGCATTCCGGCTTTGCCACACTATACCTCTGTCAGACGGGCCCCTAAAAGGACCTTTACGCCAAAGGCCTTTAGGGTTTTCAAATGACCTTTAAGTTCTGCCGTGCCAGACAGCGCAAGTAGATGTCATTTGGACGATGTTTACAGCGATTGAAGTCTCGCAACTCGTTCAAACGCATAAACCACGTTCACGCCAGAAAGATGTTATTTCGGCGATATAAATATATTTTTAAGTTTTTCTTAAGGACGAAAGAAAAAAAAAAGTGCATCGCTTGTTTATGTTGACAGTGTCACGCAGTGCACACACCTCACATTGGGTCGCTCTGCTGTAGCCGAAGAAAAAAAATCTTTATAAAAATGGAATAAATCAGATTTAAATATATATATATTAAAATCGTGTATTAATTGAAATCACTGTAGCTAGAGAATATTGATCATTTATCACACTATGTATTTTTAAAACACGGCAGATTGTTTGATAAATTCTTGCGATCAGTGAAACAAATGCGGAGATATGAATTACTGCAATTTTAGGAAATTTTTCTTAATGAAAACCCCGCATTACTAGAACAAAAACACGTTAGTTTTTTTGTTAACGAAACTTTTCTCTTTCGCGATCTAATTTTCTTGCAATAGGACGTTACTTTCTGAGTTTTCGTTTCTATCTTTTGCGTTCTGATTTGATTGCGAAAAAAACGAAGTAGAAGGTAGAAATAACACTCAATGCATCGATTTGCTCCAAAGACTGCCTTTGGATCCGTTTTCAGTCTGATATAAATATTTCTTATGTGATGATTCTTTTGATTTAAGTGCAGAACATATGCGCATTAAAAGCATCACCGGTCTGATTGAATATCGCGATTTAATCACCTCGATATTTTTATTCTTCACCCTGGCTGTAGCCCTCGTTCTCCTTTTATGTCAACCGATTTCGCGTAAAGGGATTTGCAGCCAAGTTGTCACCGTAGCTAAACCTGTCTTGAACTTCTTCCGGGATTTTTTTTTTGTACTCGTGGCCGTTCTGCTGCTGCTGGGACTCGGAACTGCATCCACTTCGCCCACGATCAACGCTGACAGTGCAGCTAGAGCCCTTTACGCGTGTACACGAACTGCTTTATCGATAAGAAATCTGCTTCAACCAACTGGTTCTTACGTCATCCGGTCTCCCGGAGTCCAGCCGCCTACAAAAGGGGTCGTCGCCATTCAAACTGCGGGATTTGCAGCTAAGTTGTCACCGTAGCTAAACATGTCGTGAACCCCTTCCAGGATTTTTTGCTGCCCTCGTGGCCGTTCTGCTGCTGCCAGGACTCGGAACTGCATCCGCTTCGCCCACGATCAACGCTGACAGTGCTGTTACAGCCCTCTACGTGTGTCCACAAACTGCTTCTACACTATCGATAAGAAATCTGCTTCAACCAACTGGTTCTTACGTCATCCGGTCTCCCGGAGTCCAGCCGCCTACAAAAGGGGTCGTCGCCATTCAAACTGCGGGATTTGCAGCCAAGTTGTCACCGTAGCTAAACATGTCGTGAACCCCTTCCAGGATTTTTTGCTGCCCTCGTGGCCGTTCTGCTGCTGCCAGGACTCGGAACTGCATCCGCTTCGCCCACGATCAACGCTGACAGTGCTGTTACAGCCCCCTACGTGTGTCCACGAACTGCTTCTACACTATCGATAAGAAATCTGCTTCAACCAACTGGTTCTTACGTCATCCGGTCTCCCGGAGTCCAGCCGCCTACAAAAGGGGTCGTCGCCATTCAAACTGCGGGATTTGCAGCTAAGTTGTCACCGTAGCTAAACATGTCGTGAACCCCTTCCAGGATTTTTTGCTGCCCTCGTGGCCGTTCTGCTGCTGCCAGGACTCGGAACTGCATCCGCTTCGCTCACGATCAACGCTGACAGTGCTGTTACAGCCCTCTACGTGTGTCCACGAACTGCTTCTACACTATCGATAAGAAATCTGCTTCAACCAACTGGTTCTTACGTCATCCGGTCTCCCGGAGTCCAGCCGCCTACAAAAGGGGTCGTCGCCATTCAAACTGCGGGATTTGCAGCTAAGTTGTCACCGTAGCTAAACATGTCGTGAACCCCTTCCAGGATTTTTTGCTGCCCTCGTGGCCGTTCTGCTGCTGCCAGGACTCGGAACTGCATCCGCTTCGCCCACGATCAACGCTGACAGTGCTGTTACAGCCCTCTACGTGTGTCCACGAACTGCTTCTACACTATCGATGAGAAATCTGCTTCAACCAACTGGTTCTTACGTCATCCGGTCTCCCGGAGTCCAGCCGCCTACAAAAGGGGTCGTCGCCATTCAAACTGCGGGATTTGCAGCTAAGTTGTCACCGTAGCTAAACATGTCGTGAACCCCTTCCAGGATTTTTTGCTGCCCTCGTGGCCGTTCTGCTGCTGCCAGGACTCGGAACTGCATCCGCTTCGCCCACGATCAACGCTGACAGTGCTGTTACAGCCCTCTACGTGAGTCCACGAACTGCTTCTACACTATCGATAAGAAATCTGCTTCAACCAACTGGTTCTTACGTCATCCGGTCTCCCGGAGTCCAGCCGCCTACAAAAGGGGTCGTCGCCATTCAAACTGCGGGATTGGCAGCTAAGTTGTCACCGTAGCTAAACATGTCGTGAACCCCTTCCAGGATTTTTTGCTGCCCTCGTGGCCGTTCTGCTGCTGCCAGGACTCGGAACTGCATCCGCTTCGCCCACGGTCAACGCTGACAGTGCTGTTACAGCCCTCTACGTGTGTCCACAAACTGCTTCTACACTATCGATAAGAAATCTGCTTCAACCAACTGGTTCTTACGTCATCCGGTCTCCCGCAGTCCAGCCGCCTACAAAAGGGGTCGTCGCCATTCAAACTGCGGGATTTGCAGCTAAGTTGTCACCGTAGCTAAACCTGTCGTGAACCTCTTCTAGGTAGGTTTTACGCTGTAAGATTTTTTTTTTTTCGGTTGCAAATTTTTTAGGGTGTGAACATTATGGGCGTTGATGTCCAAATGCACCGAGTGCGCATTGGTCGATTTTCAAATAAATCGAAACAAAGGTTGCGCCACGTACCACCAGGATGTTTAAATATTTCCTGTTTTTGCTCGTTTGGTTGCTTAAGTTGTTTACTGTGGCAACCGTTATGCTGGCGTTGCTTTCCACACCCGGGAAAATTGAGACAAACCCTGGCCCTCTGACTTCCGAAGAAAAAATGAATAAGTTGCAAGGTGCTATCGAGGCCTTAACAAACGACTTCTGCTGAATCCCAACAAGAAAGCTCGCAGAAGCTAGACGCAATCAATGGCGGGATTGCCAATTTTGGGTTACGGGTTCGTTGACCTCTGCCTTGGAGGCAAAGGTCAACGAAATCACCAGCGTAAAAAAAAATGTTGCTACCCTTACCAAAACGCTGGCTGATGTTCTGCATGAGCCTGCGATTGTGCATGATCACAGGACTTTGCTTACTGAAGGTCTTGACGACATGAGATACCGAATGCGGAGAAACAACTTTATTCAGAAGGGCTTGTCCGAAGGTGAAAACGAGTCGTGGAGTGACACAGAGTCGTTGGTTCCGAACTTCATAAAAGAAAACATCACTGAGAAAGAGCTCATCGGCTTAATCAAAGGTAAACCGGTTCGACCCGGCCGGTCAATGTCAAGCTTCTAAGCTTTATGAGCAAAGATGAGATCCTACGAAATGCTCACAAACTAAGAAATGTGTTGTCTCCGAAAGTTTGGATCTTTGCGGATTTTTACTCAACGTGGAATTCGCTAAGCAAAAGTCGTGGGACTTCGCGTTCCAATTTTAAGACCAGGATATTAGATAAAAGCTATCTTTCGACAAGCTACGTGTTGGAAACCAAATGTATGTGTACGATAATGAAAGCGCTGCTGTCATCTAATTGCTTGTCTCACCACGTGCAAGTCCACGTCCGGCCGAGTGACTCACTCGAAACGAAATATCTGGAGCGGTATCTTGCCCTAGAAATGTACCAAGGTTATCTTTTTTTTTTTTTTCTTTTTAGCGAATTTTTGCAGCTTAGTTTTCAAACAAGATGATTTCGAGTGCATTACTCCGTCATGCGACCCAGATATTATTCTCGGTACAGGAACTTGGTGGACATCCAGTGTCAAGAACTCTGCACTAATCTTAAGTAAAAACTGCAAACTTTTCAGAAAGGATCGAATTCCTATGAGGGGAGGGGGCGTACTCATTGCAGTTAAAAATGATATTCAATGTTTCCTCGG